GAATTAATTTTGAGATTAATTGGATTAATTAAAAGTGCAAGGATTTAAGCTGTAATTATTCAATAGTTGAACAATAGAAGGATTCTAGATCCTTCCTAGGGGGAACGCTCTCTATGAGCCTTCTAAGGATTCTAGAATGTCCCATGTGGATAATAAGGAAACTAGATAAAACCATATTTGAAATAATATTATTTTATTTCAAATTAGGATTTTTAGGGTTTTCCTATCATCTATGAATAGGGCTCCTTGGACTCCCTATTTTGGTCCCATGCATACCAAGAGTTAGAAGAGTTGGAATTCTGGTTCCATCTCCTCTCTCCTCTCAAGCTTCCATTGCTAGGGTTTAGGTACAAACCATTAGAAACATCATAATTTTGGTGTTGGCTTTCCAAGCAAATTAAAGAAAGGAATTCTTTATTATTTACAATAAGAATCAAAGAGGTATGTAATGTAACATCCCAAAATATGATCCAAAAATTTCATTTTTAATTTAAGTAAAACAATATTCCAAAAAAATTATTCATACAACCCGAGAGAAAATAAGTATATCAAACATCATAACAATCAGAGTGATATCTCAAAAGCGGAATCCATATGGTGTATGTTGCTGGCTGACAGATTCCCCGAACTGTCAAATATCAAAACAACACCCAATTAACAATTGGGTTCCAAACCATAACCATAAATCCATACTCAGGGTAAAAATACCATTTTACCCCTAACCTAGGTTGGTCCAAGACTAAGGCCCAAACTCACAACCCGAAAGGCCCAAAAGCCAAATAACCAACCAAGGCCCAAATATGGCCCAATTTTCCGACTTGGGCCCAAACCCCTTACATGGGCCTTACCCTAAAGCCCGACCAATTTTCCTAGTCCAAAACACTTGTACTCAGATGGCCCATTAAGAACTCAAACACCCAAGCCCAACACGAAGCCCAAAAGCAAAACCCTCCTGACTGAGTATGCGGGGCGTACTCAGCTGTACGTTAAGCGTACATGCAATTTGGCTTGTATGTTGCGCGTACAGACTTGTATGTCCAACGTACTCATCCATTAAGCCAATTTCGACATTAAGCTCTTAATGCTTAAGTCCAGAAGTCCAAACCACAGATTTGAGCCCACACAAGTGTCTAGAACCATAAAGTCACTGACTTGGTGACTTTGCATGCCCCAAAAGAACCAATCTTCAAGATAAAGCATTATACTTTCACCAAATGGACACCATCTCATGCATGAGGGATTCCAAACCCTAAAGGAGGCAACTTTATGCATCTAGAACCTCATAAACACCAAGAATGGCAACTCACAACTCCTGGAGTGGTACTAAACCACTAGATCTCATTCTTGGGGCCAAAAAGGGACCAAAACTCATACAACATAGATCTAAGTCAACAATGAACAAGATCAAAGTTTTTTTTACCTCAAACAAGCTGTAAACGAAGCACATAATCAAGATCCATAAGCTCTTCCTTGATCCACAACCTTGCACCAAACTCCATCTTCTTGGAAATGACCCAAAAACACCAAAATGCACACCATGAGCTCAAAACACAACCATGGAGGCTTAGATACAATTTCTAGGGTTTTGGGGACTTAGAGGCCGGTAAAGAGGCCAACCGAAAAGACTAAATGTGCTTATATAGGGTACAACTTCCAAATCAGGGTTTTTTCCCTTACCCCTCGTACGCCTTGCGTACTCCTCGTACACCCTGCGTACGAGGTCTCGCATCCCCGTTTCCACCCTCTCAGTACGCTAAGTGTACACCACATTATGCCCAGCGTAATGGCCTTCGCATCAGTACGTTGCGCGTACTCCCTAGGAACGCCTAGCGTACTAGGGTTTCCTCCTTAAACCCTTAAGCACTCCGAAGGCCATAACTTCTTTGTTATAAATCCGATTCCGATGATCCTTATATCCATAAAAAGGCAACGGGAAGATCTATGCTTTAATCAACCCATACATGCCTTACCATTTCCTGAACAAACCTCTAATTTCCATAAAAGCCCGAGCTGACAAATTACCGAAATACCCTTTGACTCCAAAACACAAATTGAATCCCCGAATCATCCAAATTACATCATCCACCCCCAAATGAGTCCAAATCTCAATTCTTCAAGGGTCACAAGCCCGCTAATACCCAATCCCTGATCACTACTCCAAAATGGGAAATGATTTGAAATAGGGCGTTACATGTAAACCCTAATCCTTGTAATTTTGATTATAGTAGGCTTACCTTAGAGTTTATAATGTTCAATTGTTTATTGCTTTCAATAGAGAAAACTTAGATCCAAAGTAGTTTGCATGTGAACTTAAGGGTTAAGTTGTTTTCGCCACATGTATTAATTATAACCTATAAAACCTGTCAAAGTTATCTAAAACAACTTACAAACCTGGAGTTTTCCTAACTCCAAGAATATCAAAACAAAAGGGACCAAACATTTTCAAAACACTAGATATAGAAGCTAAAAACCATAAAAATGAAACTTTATTACTTATTGAGTAATATGAGATGACAATAAGACTTATACCCTATAGATGTAGGTTCCTTTTCACCAAAACTATTTGCTTCTTCCTCAAGTTTTACACCAAAGGCACCAAGAACACTTGAATAGATGGGAGGAGGATAAGGTAATTTACTCTAGGGTTTGTGGGTGTTGGTGGTTGATAAGCAAGAAAACCCTAGGATTTAGTGCCTTTAAATAGTGTTGAAAACCCATGACCTAGGTTTTTGGGCTGTTGGCGGCGACACATCGCAACCAACATAAGGTCGTGCGACTTAACGCGCAACCACACGCCGCAACCAACACATGCACACGTCTTGAATTCACTTCCCTCTAAAACCATATTTCTTATTTCAATAACATTAATAAATAAACATACCCGAAAAATAGGCGTTACAAAGCTCAACAAAACCATCTTACTTAAAATTAGGGGAAAAACATTTTACAAGTCAATGTACACCGTTGATATCATAACAACATTTAATAAAACTTCATAAAGTCAAACAATATATATTAACTAACTATATAAAATGGGCCAAAATGCCCAATACCAAATCATCTCAGTCCTCAAAGTTCAAACACATTACAAAATCAAATGAAAACAATCCAAGTAGTAGGTACACAACCTAAGTAAAGATACACAATCCAAGTAATAAGCACTCAACCTATATAATATGTACACACCCTAAGTAATGATACACAATCCAAGTAATAAGCACTTAACCTGTATAATATGTACACACCCTAAGTAATGATACATGATCCAAGTAATAAGCACTCAACCTATATAATAGGTATACACCCTGAGTATTAGGTTATATGTACTCAACCTAAGTAATGAGTACTCAACTCATGTAATAGGTACATGACCTAAATAAGGATATGCAATCCAAATAATAGGTATTGAACCCATGTAATATGTACACAATGTAAGTAAAGGGTACACAACATATGTCAAAAGTGTCTGGATCACATTATCTTTCAAAACTCATTCAAAGTAATGAATTCACAAAAAATGATTTAAAATCCATAAACATCTTAAAACATCTCAATTTATCCAAAAGAAACCTAAATTGAAAACCCATTCTAAAAATATACTTAAACCAATTTAAATGACTTCTATATTTTAGAAACTATAATCATCGAAACATTTGAATAAAAGATGACTACACATTGTACTTATAGTATCCAAGAAAGGTATATGTATAATATTGCATGCAAGAAGGAAAAAAATATCATTATAGTGGGGACAAGTGTCCATAAGATAAGGAACTCACCTCAACTCATGCTAGAGGCATGACTTCATTTCTAGTAGTTTTTGGTGACGTATGGTCACATATACATCAAAGTTTAACTAAGTACTTAATCATTAATTAAGTTTTTAGAATGTGTTTGAGATTTCATTTAAAAACAATTTATTGGCTTATTGAATTTTTGAAAAGTCAATAGGTTAAAAAAATATTCGGTAATATGAAAATGATTTTTAAAATAACTTCTTATTAACATTCAAAAATGAGATTTCAAAAAGTTTGAATTTCTAACTTTTCAAAACCTTTTATAACTTTTTGGATTGTAAAAGACTAATACCTCTTAAAACATGTATAAGTTAAGAAAAACGTTTAAAAAAACAATTTATTGATTTTTCCTACCACAAAAGCTAATTCAAACATTTAAAAAAAAAACTCATTTTATCACCACCATAAGTCAATACATAATTTTTTTTTTGCCTAAAGTTCTTTTGAGGTTGAAAATGAAATCCCCAACACGCTCTTAATGATATCAACCTTATTTTATACCATAGATAAGCTTCTTAAGTCATTCGAAGGATAATGGAAATAGTTTGAGCAAAAAAGATCAATAAAGAAAAAAGTTACATTTTTCACTTGTTGTAAGAGATTACATTGGCCATGTAATTAACCCATGCTCCATTACACGGTCATGTAATGCCCAATACACATGATTTCATGATTTTTGTCCAATTAAGGTATTATATTTTGATTCTATGGACCCAAATTCTTCATTAAGCACTTCCAATTCTACCAACTATATTGTGTAATGTCACAAATTATAGGACTAGTTAATTAGTAATCAAACTCTAAAAATATGATAAACTATTACAGTTTTCTATAACACCTAAAGGAACTCATAATTTCGATGATTATCGATATTATATAATAATATGTCATAATCTTTCTAACTTTATCTGTCCTCATACATAAACCCAAATAAACCCATAATTAATATCCTTATCCCCAATTATGAAACCATTTGTTTTAAGTTTAATATAAAAGTTGACACAGTGACATGCAAATCAATTAAAAATGTAATAAAAGGTCACATTTGTTTTAACCACATCCAACCCTAAAATAGAAGTAGTAAAAGAGAAAAAAAGAAAAAGAAAAAGGATAAGGTAGTATTAAAATAAAACCCGGTCCGGTTTATTCGTGTCACCTTTATTAAAAAAGACTGTGACTCTGTGAGAGTGAAGCTGAATAAAGATTTATAGATATACAAATACAACATTATACCCACTACTCTATAGTGAGAGAAAGTGATGGAAAAAGCAGATGGGTCCATGTTCCTCAACCGCATGACATCCAATTGAAGGTACCCTCTCCATTTCAATCTCCTTCAAAGTTATTCAATTCTGATTACTCGATCTCTTTCTCTCCTTCTGTTTCAGTTGCTTTGCAGGAGTGGCAACCTAGGGTTCCAACTCGATTGCTTTTCAGGTGCATTTCCAGATCTGAACAACCTTCTTTTCAAACCCTAGCTCGTACTGTACTTCTTTTGCTGATTAACTTATGGTTTTGATTCAGATCTCGGAATTGGTTGACATTTCTTGAATTTGTAGTTGATTGATGGTTATGTCGTTTATGTTCTTCGCGATTGGTTTTTAACTCTAAATTGGTGAACTTGTTCTGCATGTTACCTACGATTGAATGAAAATTGAGTAACCTTTTATTTTAAGCCTGTTCTCTTTTTCATAGCTCAGACTTGTTTAGTTGCTCTTTTTGCTAGATCTAATTGACCAATTGTAACTGGAAATGCGTAGATTTTTTTTTTCTTTTTTTCTTTTTCGGCAGTGTGATATGTATAGGAGAAGCAACTAGTTAAATTTCATCTTTTTGACGTGACGATATTGTGTTATTTCAAACACTAATGAAATTGGATTCAAACAGTGGCCCTTTGGGATGATTAAATTCAAATTTCAAGTTAATGTATGTAGGAATGATGTTATTCACATTTCACAGTTTTGGTTGTGTTTTATGTTTCATTTCCTGTAGCTTCATTGAGAATTTGTTTTCGGGATAATGCAGAGAATTTAAAGCTGTAACATTTCTATTAGTCAACAATGGGGAAGTCTCCTGGAAAGTGGATCAAGACTGTGTTTTTTGGGAAGAAGTCGTCTAAATCTAATCTCTCAAAAGTAAGAAAAATGTTATTTTTTATACATCACTTGTCTCTTATTATGTGATCCTGATGTCATCTAATTCTTGCAGGATGCTACTTCAGAAATAAAAGTATCCATCACTGGTAAAACACCATCAAACAATTTTGGTGCTGATTCAATGATCATCTCAAGTCCAGTGCGCCCTGTAATTGATTCAAGTGATCATACAGAACTTGAAAAGAGCTCAAGAGCTAACTTAATAACCGATACACCTGAAAATGTAACAAGTCCCATGGACTTAACTGCTATAACTGGTGAGGAGTTAATCAAACTTGAACAAGCTGCCACAAAGGCACAAGCTGCTTTCAGGGGCTATTTGGTAATATTCTTGAGATATTTCTGCTACACATCTTGTCTCATTACTATCATACATTCATACCTACATTGAGATATGAATTAACAATATGTGAAGGCGCGAAGGGCATTTTGGGCACTCAAGGGTATCATAAGGCTTCAAGCCCTAGTTCGTGGTCATTTAGTTAGAAGACAAGCTGTTGCTACTTTGAAATGTATGCGTGCAATTGTTGAGTTCCAAGCATTGGCTCGTGGCCGAAAAGTCAGACTTGGTCAACCCCTTCAAAAACACCCTTCAAGAGAATTTCTGGTAAAATTATCTTTATCCTTTATTATTTCTATCTACAATTTTTCTTCATATTATTAATTTCTTTTTCTCATTTTTGTTTCCTCAGAATAAGAAACCATCCGAGTTGCTTCAAACATCCATCAAACAAGAAAAACTGTCAACAAATGTGTTTGCCACTAAGGTATACTCAAATATATATATATATATATATATATATATATATATATATATTATCTTATAATCCAAGCGTAAAATGACTTTTTTCAAATATTTGTCTTTGTTTTAACTTTTAATTTTCTTAGCTTGTTGCTTCATCAAACACTACAATGCCATTAAGCTTCCAATACGAACCAATTGAACCAAATTCAGTCAAAAACTGGCTTGAAAGATGGTCAAAATCCCACTTTTGGGACCCACTGCCACAACCGAAAAAGTCAACCGAATCAAAACCTAAAAGAAAGCAGACTAAATTGCAAAGTGAAGAAACGGAAACAGGGAAGCCAAAAAGAAGTGTCCGGAAAGTTCCTGATAACAATTTATCAAATTCATCTGAAAATGAAAAATCCAGAAGAACAGTGAGAAAATTCTCAAACCACCAATCAGAACCAGTTCAAGAACAATCTATTAATGAACTCGAAAAAGTTAAACGTAATTTAAGAAAAATATCCTTATCCACTTCTGAAAAATCAGAAACCGAGACTGAAAAGACGGAAATACCCCTACAATCCCCAATTCATGAAACAAAAACAAATGGCTCATATGTGGAAAGTGTTGTTAAAGATCCTGAACCGGTTATGGTTATAGAAAATAAAGCGGTTGATGAAGTGGAAGTGATACAAATTGAACAGCCACCTCCTCCCATTCCCATGGAGCCATTGTTATCCATGGAAACTAATAATGAAGAACCTGCAAATGGGGAGGTAAATGGGAAGGAAGAGAATAATGGTGTGAGTGTGAATGTGAATGTGAATGGGAAGGAAAGTCAGAAAACAAGGAGGAGAAAATCTTTACCTGCAAAACAAGAATATAATCATGAGAGTGTATCACAGACCACACCTACCTTACCGAGTTACATGGCGGCTACTGAGTCAGCAAAGGCCAAGCTTAGAGCACAAGCGGCGGCAGAGGCGGCTGAGAATGGCGGCAGGCGGCAGTCTTTACCCTCCTCCGGTGGGAAACCGAGTCTGCCTTCACCGCGTATTCAGAAGCCTGTAGTGAATGGGAAAGGAGGGAGTAAACCTAACAAATCACAGATATCACCTAGAGATGGTGAGAATAGTTTTTTATTTATTTATATTTGAGTATTTGTTTTGGTGATTTAATTAGTTTATGTTTTTTTGTTTTTTTTAGAGAAAGTGATGCAGGCGGGGTGGAAGAGATGAGACAATGTGATGGTTTGGTTGGTTGGTTCTTATTGTGCGAACTTTTGTGTTGTGCTAAATTGTTATATTAGGAGGGCATTAAGAGAATAACTGATGTTTGTTTTTGGGGGTGTTAATGTTATTGTTATTGTTATAGTTGATGTTTGAATGTATAGTTATGAACTAAAACATGTTTTGGAGGTGTGTTTTACTGTCTGGGATTGTTTGAGAATATATATAACTTCCTTTCACATATCACAACATATCTTCTCTTGCTAAAGCCTTTGTCAACATATCAGAACCATTATCAGCAACACAGACAATTATCTTCAAGAGCATTTCTAATTATCCATATGATTTGTTCTTTTATGAAATGCACAATCCTTAGCACACTTTGATTATCATAAAGAACCATGCGGTGTTGTCGCTTTTAGCAATGTTCTTGCAATTTTTTTTTTCAACCATCATAGTTCTTTGCATGCTTCTATTGTGACCTCCCATTTCCAAATATTATACCCAAAATCTAGTTAGCTACTTCCCAATGATTCTTGCCCAGATTTTACAAAAACCGAGTAACAATAGCGCTATATCATGAACAATATCATGCTTTCTGCACACCATTACATACATCAAGTATCTGACACTTGATGCAAATGGAATTGTATCCATCTCTCCAATCTCCTTCGTAGAAGAGAACAATCTTTAAGGGGTGAAGTAACCACTTTAGCTTTATCCGTATTGAATTTGTAAAACACCTTAATGTAACTTCTCCAAAGCGCTACCAAGTGTGATCTATATGCCAAAAATCTGTTTTCTTGGCCCAAAGTCTTTCATAACAAAGACTTATTCAACTGTCACTGCTTCTTTAGTAAGATAATTCTCTTGGAGTCATGAACAAATTGACAAGTTCTCAAGAGCTAAATGACCATAAATGTAACATGACAATTAACAATTGAATTGAATTGTTGGGTGAACGTCCCTATCACCGGCTCTCATGTGAAAATGGAAATTTGTTACGGCTGCAGAAAAGCAACATTAAATACATGAGAATTATTTTCAACGTAGGCATGTGAAGGTAAATTTTTTGTGGCAGTCTATTAACAAAATTCAAACGGTGGCTTTATCAATTTCACATGTGTGTGAATGGAAGAAAAAGCTTACGACTCAAAATACTATAAATAGGTTTCTTCCTTTCAATTGTTATAACAACGTAAATTTTAAAACAATTTTTCATTTTTCACATAATAAAAACTCATATAATATTCTCAAATCTCATGTATCAAATGTCATCATAATAAAACATATCCCAAAATCTCAAAACATAATCCTCTGCCAGTGTGTACAAATCATGCCGGCCCCTTCCTGCGATCCTCGCTGGTACCTGAAACACATATCACATAACACGTTACGCATAAATGCTTAGTGAGTTCCCCAAAATACCACATGCAACACATAAGCCACTCGAGGCTATAACTCGATATGACCCTCCGGTCAATGTGTCTCAGCGGGACCCTCCAGTCCCGTAGCTCGCTGGACCCTCCAGTCTGGTCTAGCTCGTTGGACCCTCCGGTCCGGTCTAAATCGTTGGACCCTCCGGTCCGGTATGACTCGTTGGACCTTCCGGTCCGGTCTATATAACATATAACATACATATAACACAATGCACATAAACTCAAACATACACATAACACA